TGTTTGGACCTCTTCAGGTCACTTATTTTAGGGGCGGAAATAAAATTTGACCGATTACCAAGTAGTCGTTGGATGAGGTTAACTTGTGGGTTATTGCGGATCCAAACATGGGCAACCGATGCCTATCCGGCTGAACCGAGATTAACCACAATGCCATCGAAGTAGCTCTTCGAATCAATTCTGGAGGCGTTATAAAGGGTACGAATTCCCGAGGAAGGAAAGGGAAGGGGGAGGAATGACATAATTCATTGACATTATTCTTACTGCCACTGCCCCCAGTATTCTTCCTCCTCCTCCTCCCTCTTGCTCCCCCCTCCAACAAAGAAGGCAATTTTTTTGTAGGGAAAATACAATCCTTATAGAAGGCTTTGAAAGTGCCACAAGAAACGTGACCCCACCCAGTCAATTTTAGCGGCAAGTAGAAAGGTCGCCATTTGCGCCTTGATTAAAGGGGAGGGCTTTTTGTGCCTTTTGTTGACTCAAAGAGGAACAAATTTTACGATGTACTTTAATTTAGCCTAGAGGATAATTGACATAAAAACAAACACAAGTTTGTACAGGCTGTGGCGACCCTTTTGAATTGTTCCTGCATACATTTTCCCCCTCCCCTTCCCTCCCCTCCGCGCCCTTCCACCCCACAACTTTGTGGAGGGGATGCATGCTTCGCTCTCTTAGGCGTTGAGAGTTGGGGAGGTTGGGGAAGGTTTACTGGAAGTTTTCAGTTAGTGACGAGAGGCCAATCATCCTCCCTCTGGGAGTAATGGGTGAGAGACTAATTAATCGACGGGGAAGTCAATCATTTAGGGAGACAATAAAGCTAAAATGGCATCTGTGAAGATAAGAGATATATTTCCCTCTTTTATTGTTATTTAAGGGACGTTCACATAAAACCGGGATTTTCAGGTAACCAGGTTTCACACATCTCAGTGTATAATCCTTCTTTATTAAAGAGTGCTTAAGCCTTTCATTGGTGATGTGGTGTGTTCATTGTTCTCAAGGGTGGTTCTGTCGTATGACAAGGTTAATTATGCATCAGTCAGGAGTGGCTCAGCCGAATCAGGCAAGGAGGTGGACAGACCGACCTGCAGTCGGGCAGGCGGAGGAAAGGGTGAACGAGTAGGGGTGAGTGTGTGTGGGAAGAGGCGCTGACGGGTAGGCGTTTCGCACGCCATCCGGTGTCAAAGTGACTACGACTGACGGCTGTGCCAGTGCTGGGACCGAAAGGAGCACTAGGCTCTGTCAGTATCGTTACTAGGGACGGATGCAAGTTTCAGGGTCTGCAATGCCCTTACACTATCCACTATTTACTGCCTATCTTCTCATCACCGCACTGCGTTACAGTGCACGATGCTGTTCAAGGGAAACTCGGATGGTGAATCCTCCCGACCAATCACAATCAGGTGCCCAGAAGATTTTCTGACTGCTGGGAATGCCAGGATTTAAGGCGTACACACTTTGAGCTACACCCATCTGGCACAATCACTAGCGTGACCCCTTTTCGAGGCAGCTGAATCACCACAAACGAGGTGTTTTAGACGACTGGTAGAACACCAACTGTCCGGCATCACTTTGGCCACTTCAACTGCTACTCCACAGCTGTCAAAAATGTAAAATCTTCTTCGTAAGAGAAGAATGTTCTAAACAAGGTATCAAATACCAACATATATCACGCATTTGTAAGGTCATATTTTAGTCAGAAAATTTAAAGCAGTACCGTCACATATGCGTGACGCGAATAGTAAACACGTTAAAAGGTGGCCATTGCTACATGCTAGGACAGCATCACGAAGCTGGCTACCACAGCAAATGGAAAGCTTTATACAAGATACCCAATGCCTACTGTCTGTCATCATTTGTCTTAACAGGAGAGGCTACAAAAACAAATGTTTTGCAAGTAAAGTAGCCATGCCATTAGAAGGTGTGATGTAGAACCGTTCGAGGGGTAATCCTAAAACCGAATCCTTTGATCATAAATCAACCTTACGGCAATCTTTTTAAACCCTCTTTGATATAGGCAGCAGTGGAAATGAACAAGACGCGGGGTGCAGCAAAATCGTCAGCCTACCAGATTTGGACCATGCAAACGATAGATGGGGCAGAATGCGATTTATTTTGGTGCCAAAATGGGGGGAGGGGAGGGGAGTGGTGGAAAGGGAGACGAACCTCAATGTCTGAGCACCTTTCCTGAATAAGGTACAATGACCTCGTGACTGAATTGAGAGCTCCAAGGTCACACTTGCCCGAGAGTGGACTAGAGGCCGCCAAAGGCATTATTTTATGCGGCTTATGACCCGTAAATAGCATTTTTTGCGCCTCAAATTAATTCTCTGCATTATTTATATTTCTTTAGTTTTATTCAACACTACTACCTGAACTACTTAAAAGAAACATTTTTGCGAAGATTTTATAGGGGTTTCTTTAAGCAATAGTAAAAATTAAATTTTTGTACGGTCGAAATTAATCTAAAAAATGTGGAGCTGTTATCGAAACTGAGATTAAGCTGTTGAGGGAAGACGATGAGGAGTAAAGTGGCCTTGACTGCATGCAACCAAATATTTATGGCTTGCCGCTGACATAAACCAGTTGTCAAAGTTGTTGTGGCGGGGGCACGAAATGGCTCTTAATTACCGAGGCGTGGGCGGCGGTCCCAGGTGTGTTTACATTATTCCCATTCCATTAAAGAGCTGTTCGGGTTACACTTACCTGATAAATTGTTACTAAAAACTACTCGCTTCTTCAATAAGTTGGTGCATTTCTAATCGTGTCTCTAAGGTTTTGGCGCTAATCAGGGCTTTTAGAGTCTGCTTTTCTTAGCATTTACTGTCGCTAATTCTTGAAGCTTGGATTTTAAAAATGATCCATGAGTTTATTTACAAAATTTACCAAAAGTTAACAATTCTTTAGTTGTCTTTTCAAGGGAGCGTTATTTGAATTCAATAAAATTAGCTGCAATCCGATTAGTCGTTAATACGGCTAAATAAGATATTTGTAATACAATAGTGGTTTATCCCTCGGTTCTGGTGAGGCGCCACTTTTGTACTTCGAATTAGCCCCCTTGTACCTCGCTGAGTGGGCTGGCCTTTTGGGCCATGCCAATAGCCCAGACACCTTCTTCGTGCTGAATATATATAGTCTGCCCGAGTATTGTGTCTTCTTTCGTCTTCAGGGAGTCTCGGGACGCTACATA